GTGGTGGTATTAAAATCAGGCAACGAGATTCTGGTAGAAGTAAAAGGGGGGGTGAGATAAAAATAGTTAATCATCATTGCTTTTAGATCTTTTGTTGAATTTATGTTTATTATGTGAGTCACTGTCGCTATCACGCATATAAGACCGATTTGAAATAGAGCGTAGCGAATCATAAACACCGGAAGTAATGTTAGAATTGCAACGTACAATACGCCCAATGTCAGAACCGCGGACGTAAGGTGTATCGGTAGTGGCATTCTTATATGCCTTTACTTCCTCTACCCGTTTCATTTTTTATATTAGCGGCGCGTAAAGAGAAAAATAAAGGTTTTTTTTTACACTTACCTGTGTGAGCTATGATGTACTGCAGTAGTTTGCCCGCAGCCTCGTCTCGATCGTTTATGTCGGGGAAAGGATGTGGCATGGGTGTCATACTATTCAAATCCACTTCAGGTCGCATGCACTTGAATCTCAAGATGCGGTTTCGAGAACAAAATCCCAAAAGCACTTTTGTTAGAGGACCAAACGTGGCATCGTCCGGGACGTTTATCAGTTGCACACATTCCACGTTACGACAATGTTGATAGAGTAGTTTCGGGAGAGATCTCTCTTCCGATTGCCAGCCATCAACCACCACCTCCGTTACTAGATGACCGTAGTGGGTCAGGAAGATCCACAGCGATGCAAGTGCAATCTGATTAAGAAAACGGTCGTCTGTAGTGCACTTCATCATCGTTAGCTTGATGCGATTCGATGACATCCAATCTAACTTCACGCAGGCATCTCGTACGACATTACACCACGAAGACACATATTCAAAGTTTAACTCGGGTGGTGGTGTTATCGTATCGCGACATTCTTGTGGACATTCTTCATCAACTTCGGTAATAGTAATAAAATCGTCACAGCGACACAATTTCATGCACCCGGCGAGTCTTATATGATTCAAAAAATCACACACTTTAGTCACTAAATGCATCGTGGATATTAAACCCCATGCTTCGAAAAACGTGCATCGCATGCGTGCATCCATGGCTCTAAGTTATGGTATACCCAATACTGTACATATCTCTCGCTCTCTCCACCACCTTCCCCCATATCTCAAGATAATTCGAGGACCTTATCGTAGAAGAAAACAGTCAGACTACGAAAACGACGGAACGTTTATTGATATTTCGAAAGTGCCGGTAGCTGGCGATGACACATGATTCGATGGATTACACTCAAATTGTACTCAGGTGGCGACCTGGGCATAGTCTTGAGATAATCACTAAACACAAGAGCCATGTAGTTGTACTTCGTGAAAAAAAAAATTTCAGTCAGAGAGGTGGTGTTGCACTTTGGATAGTTCAGCCTGGGAAATGTCGTTGCTCATGTAGGTAATCTGTTGGTTGATGCTCATGGACTCCACTTGCATGCCGGTAATCAGCTCCCTGCTGTCGTTCACTGCCGAGCTAAGGGCTGCGTCCGTGGTACTCGGGCAGTGAGGGCATGTCGTTTGGCATGAAATGCATGTACAAACGCGTCAGCTTGGGAAAAAGGTCCCCTCTGCAAGCATCTTGCACCACTCGCTATCACTGCTAATTGCCAGGTCGTAGCCGCAGTCTTGCTACAATGAAATTTAGAAAGGAATTCATCGAGAACAGAAACACTTGCTCTTCCAATAAGGGAGCCTGTGGAGTTCCTCCCATGATGCGCACGTAGCGAATGCTGGCTGGTTTTCAGGATGCTCGCCCAATTCTTGAGTCCACCGATGGGAGTCAATGCATTCGAGTAGTCACCAGGACCGGAACTTACCACCACATTGTAGTCTTTTTTAATTAACAAAGCTCATTTCTCTGATTTAGAGTAAAAATCACGTTGCACCTTTGCGTATGAAATAGACATGTTCCTCTGGTAAAGTGAATCTTACACTTCCTGTGCACAAAAGTAGATCGTAGTAAGCTCGGAGGTTACTTAAATACATATCAAGATCTTTTATTGTCTCTAATCTATCATTCAAAGTCCATACGTCTTGTGGTGACATTAAAGGCTCCTTTGTGTCCATCTCTTCCTCTCCACTATCAGACATACCGCTTTTTTTTATCTTCTGGAACGCCCCCACGATATGTCTCTCTCCCCTTTTTATCTTCTGGAACGCCCCCACGATATGTCTCTCCCCTTTTTATCTTCTGGAACGCCCACAATCTAAAAGTCTTTTTTCTCCTCCCTTAGTCAAATAGCCTTTTTTTGTAACGCAATGTTTTTTTTTTTCTTTTTTTGTGTTGTTGGTAAGTCTGCGTAAAAATGTCATTTTGAAAAAAATTGATATATCGCTCATTGTCTTTTTTTGAGGAACAAATATAGATAGCTAAACGTATATAATGGAGTCTTCTCCGCTGCTGCGCTCCCCGTGTTTTTCGAGCCCCCCCGACAATATCATGCAACCATTATCTCTCGGGGCTGATATTGCACAGCACCCTCTCGCTGTACTTCTTTCCCGAGATTAGATCGCGTGCAAAGTGGAGGGAGCCGTCGTCATTCGACCATGGCGGCTTGATGGAAGAAGCAGTTCATGGTCCAAAATACGGAGCATATGTCCGTTAAGGAAATAATTTCCCTTACTTCCAGTGGCCGGTCGAATGCTGATGTTGACCATGATAGAAGAGTTGGCGTGTTTGCCCGTACAAGGAATCCTCTGTGGTTATTGGAACGACGACTGTTGGGACTCTCCTAACCACAAGTTCCTGGCTATTCAATTTTGCAAGATTTTCCACAAGATGCATGGCTACATGATGATGGCTCAACTTCCCGAGCTGGAATTCCAAGCGCGACACATCGAGCTGAGCAAAGACCAGATGGACCTGTGGGAAGTGTTTACGCAAAGCGGCATGTCGACATCATCACAGGTATCCGTGTGCATCTCTACGATAGAAAGTGTTTTTTCTGTGACAAGTATTGTGGACTCGAGACTCTTTTCGGGATGTTGTCATTTTTTTACATGCATGGAAAACGCATAACGGGCTTTCTTACTTGTGATGACAGAAGGCTTTGTGAGAAGCACGGAAACTTGTCGCATGAATACATAGAAATTGCAGTGGATAGATTCTGCATGAATGCACACATTTTGTGGTGCAGAAAAGACATTCCTTGGATAGGAAAGTGTATAAGAGTGCAGAAAGTTGTCGATGTTGAGGATGACATGAAATTGTACAGTGATGTTTACATGCAGATTCCCACCTCATCTTCCTTGAGTTGTTTTTTTGCAATTGCTAAAACAAATGCAAAGATTTTGCAACGCGTGGACGTGTGCATTAAGACAGAGTCTGAATACAGTACCTTGTTAGAAATTTTGCCCCTCTGTACAGCCATTAGAACTCTGAAAATTGTATTATTGTTGAAAGAACAAACTTTGCACGCTCTCGCACAAAGCATCTCTCGTAACCGACTCGAAGTGCTCGTAATTCATATGAGTACTAGTGTCGTCGATCAGAGCATTTACTGGGAACTAATTGGAGGATTGAACTTGCCCGTACTGCAAAAATTTTCAGTCAAATGGAACTATTCGCAAAACGACCAGCAACCCCTGCTATATTTAATGAAGAATAGTCCTCTGTTGGAATGCGTGGCGGTTTACGCTCCAAACGAAGAAGTGCGCACGCTGGCTAACATGAAGCAAGTGCGATTACAGGAACCTGAACGTGTGTTTGGGTATGGCTTTACAAAATGCCTTGATAACATATCATATTTGGACTTGAGATATGTCGATCGAAAAGCGACCTCGTTTCAAAATGCAAGTGATTTAGTTCAGGCATTAGGAAATGTAAAGGAAGTGCAGTTTGACTTTTTAAGTGGAAATATTGTAAAAGATTCCATAACTGCTCTGATTGACCTGTATGGCAGTATTTGTTCTCATGCAAATATTCAATCAGTGGTGCTCACATATGGACAAATGAATCTTCCAAAGAGTGTTAATGGTGTTATAATTAATGCTTTGTATAAAGAGAAACCATTGTTAGTCTGTGGTGTTCTAGCTGGCCATTTGGTTTTGAGGCTGCGTTTGTAAAGCACGACAGATTTTATTCAAATTTCAATCTCATGGAGATGAATGTACACCATGAAAAGATTGTGTCTTTGTGTAACCGAAATCGACTGTTGCTTGTGCGCGTGGCATGTGATGTTATAAATGGCCAGATTCGAACTCTGTTTGAGAATATTGCAATGCATGACTTGATGCTTCGTCATGCTCTCATAGAGAAGAAAGTTCGCCAACTGCTGGTGATTCCTACCAGGAAATACAGTGCCAAAATCTTGCTGCCGTTCATTAGGAAGACCGTGAATTCCGAAATGTGGTCGGAAACGGTGGGTCCTGAATTGCCTTCCTGCCTACCCAAAGATTGCTGGGATTGCGTCAAGAAGTACTTTGCTTTGTCTGATGTGAAACTTACCCCCGATCACATAAAAAGAAATCAACACTTGACATTTCTTGGGTTACATGGCAAGATCATCAAATCTCAGCTTGCCATTGGTGACATGCTGCGGACAGTCATTAAGAAATAAAACGTTTCTCTTTTTTTTTTCTTGGAAAAAAGTCGTCTGTCCTTTTTTTCATCTCCTTTTAATCTATTTTTCTCTCTCGTTTTTTTTATATAGCGCGTTAGAACACATATACATTTTTTAACTTTTTTTTTACTGCAGAGCCAATCTCTCTAGTGAGTATTGTATGGGATTGCATGAACCCACGTGTACCACTTCCTCACACCCACTGCAGTCACGTGGTCTCACCGACTCAGGTACACCAGTTCCCAGAGTCCAGGCGGCCGCACGGTGACCTATTCTTTTTTTCCTCGGTTCGTTTATTGCGCCGCCTTTCCTCACCATCAGGATCTGCTGCTACCGAGATCCGCCCGACTCCCCCCCCCATTGACTTATGGCAATAAAAAGGACGCCGGTCGATGCGTGTCGTATTCTTTTGCTACAAGATGGCTAAACGACCAGATTATGAAAAACTAATCTTACGCATGGTCACGTTCGACGGATGGCCGTCCGAAGCACAGTATACCAACGTAAAAAAACTTGCAGAAGCAGGCTTTTATTACATCAACTACAAGGACTTTACACGCTGTTACTACTGCGATGGCGGTCTGTGCGATTGGATGGACACCGACGACCCCTGGGAGGAACATGCGTGCGTCTATCCATCGTGCGAATTTGTACTGCAGCAGAAAGGCAAGGAATACATCGACTTGTGCCGTAAGCGATGGTTCAATCATTTTTCGAACTTGTCCATAACTCCTCGCTGTTACGTGGAAGACAACATTTATCAAAAAGAAGTGGACATGTGGCTCAGTTCTCCTCAAGTGCAACAGTACATCAAGATGGGACTTTCCGAATCCTCCATCCGTGCCGCACTCTGGAACGCCATACGAAAGCAAGGCAGCGGTTTTGAAAAAATTCAATACGTGATGAAGATCATATGTAAATTGTTCTTGGACCACGAGCCTTCCGACACCACCACCAATGAAGAGCAAGCACAATCCGAGTTTCTAAAGAATCTAGTGTGTAAAATTTGCCTCGGTGAAGAAGCTATCATTGTAACCCTCCCATGTGCCCATCTCACAAGCTGCGCTAATTGCATCTTTACCTTGCACTCCTGCCCACTGTGCCGTATGGTCATCAAAGGGACCATTCGAGTTTACGTTTAGTGAGAAAGGAGAGGGGGAGAACAAAAAATAAAGCAAAGTATTTTTCCAATTTTTGTTTCAAAGTTTTATTGCAAACATTTGCAAAGCATGTGACTTCATTATATGACTCCACACAATTTCAAGAATGTACAGTACTCGTTGAGCGCTCTCGTCGCCGTTACAAAAGAGTCTGTCTGTCGCAGGAATCACATGGCGAGCAGTGAGAAACTGTCTAACTGTTAGTCTCCGAAGACCGTTATTCATGAAATATTTCACCATCGAAGAGTCAGACTTGTACGATTGTATGTCCAATAAACGATGCCACTTCACAATCATACCAACCATGCGTAGATTAGACAATTCTTCCGTTCTCCTATAGTAGCTCGAACACTCCAATTTATTAATTGTACAGAAAGTACTCTTTGGGTACAGTGAGTAACAATTCATTTGAGATTTAAAGTTTACATTATATAGCTTCTGTATCCAACTGATACATTCATCGGCTAACACGGGACTGTAAGAGCGCTTTTTTTGTCTGGGCTTATAAATATCCACTGAACAGACAATTTTTGTGAGGAAGTATTCACTATGGGAATTGAACCTGATGTTCTCATCAACTTGTACCATGATATTCCCAAGCATATGAGTAATGTTCTCTCCATTTAACCGCCGGCAGTACTCATCAAAAATTGCACGCATAAATAAATATGACTGCTCTTGCGTGTGAATGCGTACAAATAGTTGTAACACAGCAAGTTCTCCGCTGAGCATTTTACGCAGAAACAGCAGGTTGTATTGATCTGTGATATAAACGGCACAATCCAGCAATATTTTACTCGGGTTTTCATATAGAGACGGAATAGTATCGTCACAAATCACATATTTCACACACACATACATTGCTCGTGATATTTGGTATCTAGAAATATGACGGAATACTTTCGCTCCTTTCAATTTCCACGTATTTAACATCCGATGGTAGTCTTCGCTGCAATAAGCCCGCCTTCCCTACATAAAAATTGTCATTACGAGTGATAGGAGGAAAGACGATATGCAGGGGTAACTCCTCACCACTTCTAAATTGTTCACAATCATTCAGAAAGGGGAAAATCGTGGATTCATTATCCGTATATAGAGAGACTATTGTATAATTGGTGCCTATCACGCGCATCATGCCATAAAATTCCTTAGGTTGAAAAATGTCGTCTCGATTATAAGTGAGCATAAATTCGTTGACATTGCTCAAAAAAACGCCTACCAAATCTAACTAACACATTGGGAATAGAAAAAACGCACTTCATGATAACACCACGAAACTCGAGCACTTTGTCGTATCTAGTGAGGAACAAAAAATTGTCCATGTCCATTTTCAAACTCACAAATGACGTATCGTGGTTGCATAGCACAAGCTGCCTGACTCGATTATTAATAAGGAGACAGTCCTTGATTGTTTTCCAGCAGTATATTTGGTAGCGTATCACAAACCTCAGAATGATGTCGTCATTTCGAATCGCACCGAGTAGTTTCAATAAAAAGTGCCTACTGGGTACGAGTGGGACAATCAGGTCGATTCGATGGATGCGATTCCCGGCAAGCAGGCAGCATAAGGCTTGTTGCACGATGATTTCTTCATCTTGAGGCTGAATCATGGAGGTCGGATTGCCAGAGTAGATGAGGTCGTAGTACAAGATATAATTATGCACATGATGAAGGATTAACGGCCAACCGTAATAATATAACAATAACATATTAAGTTTGGTTAGTTCCAGATGAGCTAGGCAGCGGCAGTTCTCCTCCATCGCACCGATTCCAACGATAGTAAAACAGATTCCACCTCCTGCTTTTCAACTCTATCTTACATACAAGTGCCGGCTTTAACGTCACCTCCTGCTTTTCAAGTGCAAATGCACTTAAGCGCCCCGGAAACTCCATCAGCATCCGTGATCCGCCTCCTCTCCCCCTAGCAACGGCGCAGCGTCGCTCCGTGGCTGTGCACGCTCCGCCCCCCTTCACTCCATGGCTGTGCACGCTCCGCCCCCCTTCACTCCATGGCTGTGCGCGCTCCGCCCCCCTTCGCTCCGTGGCTGTGCGCGCTCCGCCCCCCTTCGCTCCGTGGCTGTGCGCGCTCCCCCCCCCCCCCTCATAGCATCACTCCATGCTTCGCTTATACTCCTCTTCGGGGAAAAAATGCGGGTTTTCAACTCTATCTTACACACAAGTGCCGGCTCTAATGCCATTTCCTGCTTTTTTGCTCTATATCATACACACAGACACAACAAGATTCAATGAGTGGAAAAAAAGAAGCAATTTCTTTATTCCGTCTTATCTGTTTATGAACAAGTGACACAAAATATCGACAACTTCTCTATAATTAGCAAAGCCCTTAGTTTTGCGTTTAATTTCATTACTAATGGCACATAGAGCCAATTGAGACGGAATCTCTAATTCTTGAATGAAGAATTTAGTGAAGCTTGCTTCCATCCAGTATTTTACTTCATTATTAATAATATTATCATCAGTAATTTGACACATGTGTTTCTTGGAGTCCCAATAAGTTGCGTCGCACTTGTAACACTTGACCATGTCACCGTACCCCACGTAGAACAGACTGGCTCGAGCAAGTGGGCTTGGTTCCTCCTCTTTGTTCCATTTGGCAAAACTTGCAAGTCGAGCTTCGTAACTTTCGAAGCTCGGGTGTGCGATGTCGGTGTCGACAGTGCAGGTGCCAGCCATGGAATAAATTCCACATTCGTCTCGCGACTGTACAAAATCACACTGGGGAGCATACTTGCAGTGCTCTATGGCAGGATCTTCACCATATACCCACTTGCCAATGGTGATGCAGCAAGACACGCATTTCACAAAATCCTCTTTGCCCAGATAATAAAAGCCTGCATTTGCCATGTCAGACGCACAAGGACTCATCAAGGGCCATGTTATGAAGGTAGCCAGACGGCCCTCAACGATGCCTGTCCCGATACGCACTGAAGCACTGTCTTCGTCGATCAGAACCGTCATTTTTCCCTGGTGTCTAGTGAGTGTCCTGCACTCATCCGCAAGCTATATATACCAATCAACGCCGCCTGATAACGACACCCCACCCCTCACCCCACTATAAGAATACCACGTATCTCTCCCTACTTCGCAAAAAAAGGATGAATTGCGTTGAATTGTACGAAAGTGCTAAAGTTAAGGGATTGCTGCTACCACTGGGTCTAAAATTATGTCGAGGAAGATTGAAGAGCATCGCAGCGCCGTATATTACCACACCGGCGCCTACCGCCACCCGGTTGGAAACGCTAACAGGCATCCATTGCGTTACAGGATTGATTGCCACGCACAGCACTTGTTGCATTAACGCTCTAGACGTGACTCCCGCGCTGCTCACTACGTACGCCATATCCGATCTGGCAAAAGTGTATCAGAAGAACTTTATCAAAGAACTGTACGTGCAATGTTTCGACCTGCATGGCACCTTGCCCAATTTCATCGCATTGTTTGGAAAACTCAATAAGTTGTGGCTGAACACACCAATGTGTCTGTCGGATTGCCTCTTTCAAAACTTTCTGGCCCCGTCACTGGTATCGAGCGTGACGTGCGTGGACCTCGAGGGGCTGGCCTATGGCATCAAGGACGACTACCTGGCGACGGCGCTAATTTACGCTCTCAAGTCGAGTTCTTCTCTCAAGGAGCTCTTTCCCACGCTGGTGGAAGGCGAAGCTTTGGAGCGTGCCGCGGTGGAAAACCCTCCCGTTCCGTTTTTACTCGACAGGCGCTACGTGACCACCGCGACGCCCGAAACGGATCGATTGTCCAAGCTGGTGCTGAAACTAAATACGTATATATGCTTTCGTCTGGATTTGTCGAGAACGGTGGCACCCCACGAGGATTTCGTCTGCCATACACTGCGCGCTCTGACCGTGGTGAACATTCCCAGCGTGGTGCTCTTCCGCTGGTTCCCGGCCGCACCGGGCATTCCTCTCGCGACGCGATGTAAGCCGGATCGGTGGAATCAACGAAACCTACCCGAACTGGACGAGTTTGCTTCGAAGCACGAGGAGTGGGTGGGTAGCGTCGCTTCAACCGCATACAGCGACTTTTGCTATGGAACATCGGCATCCCACGTGCGATTTCCGAACCACCACTCAGTGACTTACACTGCCATGCTTGCATTTCGAGCGAACGTCCTGGATCGCAGCAAGAGGCGGGTCGAAAGCGACATACGCGTCGACGTGGACTTGTCGGATACGCTAAGGATGCAGTGTTTCGGGGAAAGTCTGAAAACTTCCACGTGTATCTACTTTTGGTCCGCCCTAGAACCGGAACACAGTTGGCCCACATTGCTTACTAACGTCAACCTGGACAAGGTGGATGCAACGACGTCGACCAACTATCAGGTTTCGGACCTGCAGTTCGTAAACGACGTGCATGCCAAACACTACGAGATTTTGATGCACAAAACCTTAATTGATACCACATGCCACACGATACCAGCCTCCTACCTGGAGTTGAGTTACAGTACCCGAGTATACGAAAGTGTAGTGCTCGATGGACACATGTTTGTGTACTTTTACGACATCGAAGACTACTCTAGACAGGTGTTGCAGTTTATGGACAGTAGTATCAATTTGAGAAGGTATCCAATCACGTCCGCGCCTCTAATTGCATGGCAGATCTGCAGTTCGATAGAGAAATGTAAATTGCAACTATACAAGATCATTCAAGTAGACGACGCGTTAAAGCGCATTTCAATCCTCGGCGAAACTTCGCAAGCATACGAGTGTTGCGGCATGGAGGTGCGCTTTCCTCGCCTCCACGAGAAGACCGTCAACCCTGAGCTCGCGATCGCGGCTATGTCTCGAGCCGAAGCTGAGCGCACGCTCCTAGAACGCCTCACGGACGTGTGCAACACGTACCATTTGACCATGCGCAGAATGCACCTGTCCTACTACAACAAAGAGGTTCCTCCTAAAATGATCACCAAAGAACTCTTGAGTACCTTCTTCGATCACAACAAGGTG